TGCGCGCGGCCCACTGCATGAGGCGCATGTAGGCCGCGCGCGAGCCCGCGTCGCGCGCGTCGCGCTCCGCAGACACGGCCTGCTTGTACAGCCCCGCCAGGGCGTTCGCCGTCTCGATGAACGGCTGGCGCAGGCCGGGACGCGGGTTCGTCGCGTCGCTCAAATCCATGGGGGGCGAAGGCGTGCGGAAGTGGAGGGGCGGCGGGGCGGGTCGGCGTGGGTGGCGCGGAAAATTGCGGGCGGGCGAAGCGAGGAGGGTGCGGTATGGGCACGGCGGGGGTGGGTGGAAGCGCACGGGCAGGCTGCGGCGGCAAGGCGGCGGGGGTAGGTGGAAGCGCACGGGCAGACGGCGGTGGTCACGCGGCGGGGGTTCGGTTCGACGGGGCGAGAAGTGTTGAGTTAGAGGCGGTGGGGGAGGCTTGCCGGCGGCGCGAGAGGGGCGGACGGCGGGCGGCGGAGGGCGGGGAGAGGGCGCGAGTTTCGACGGATGGGGCTGGTCGGGGAGGCGGAAGGGCGGCGGAAGGGCAGCGGAAGGGAAAAGGGGCAGTGGTGGCTGGCGGGGACGCACACAGCGGGCGAGGGGCGGCGCTCTCGGCGTATCTACATTTGTGGGCGGTCTCCAACAGATTTCAACTCAGTGCTGATTTTCGCTCCACTTGTCTCAAATTGGTCCTCCTGGCGCGACTGTAAGCAATGGGGCATACAGCCAATCGCTGCGTACGATGTGCGTTACATGAAGGGGTTCTTACAGTCCCAGCAGGTCGGATATTGTGCCGGCGAGTCCTCGTTACTGCAAGCTGTCCCGCGCTTCCCACACCGCTTCGTGTGCTTCCACTCGATGTCGTCTTTCGCCGCCGTCCTTCGCAGGTACACCCTTCGAAGGGTAAGTGCTCTCGTCGATTCCCCCAGAAGTGTCTGGAAGCCCACGAGCGAGCAGTGCGTCGGGGGACACACCCTCACATCAATACTCAAGTTGGCGAATTGCCTGCATCACCGTACCATGCAGCTCCCCGAATCGTCCGGTAATACTGTATGTACCCTTAAGGGTACCCTAAAGGGTACCGTACACCCAGTGCAACTTGTACATATAGAGTAGAATCTACACTGCAGACTCCCAAATGCAGTCATGCATGTACGATGCCCTCCCCGAATCGAAATACATCCTTTTCGACAGCCCAGTCATTTGCATCTTCTTCCGAATATTAAGCGTAGTTGCACAATTTACAGTCAGTACGGTATGTCAAAAATCTGTACCTCCTACGCAACCCCATTTCCGACCCCCTTCGGCTGATACTTTGGTCTTGGTACGGGCGACCATTTCGTCAAGTACACCAACCCCAGCAGCGACGCCCTCAAAACCATCATGATATTCAGCCCGACCCACACGTATTGCAAAGGCATCACGTTGGCTCTTACAAAGTACAAAAACGACGACGCCGTGCACGCCGCGATGAAGATAGCCCCCGACAGCGACGTGAACCGTCTCCCGGCCGTGTAGATCCCGTCGAACACAAACACTAGCCCATTGATTGGCTGCACGAACGCCATAAACGGAAACGTCGTCGACACCATCTGCCTCACCGCCGGGTTGGACGTAAAAATGTTTGGCGCGCTGTTCACCGTCAACATAAGCAACGCCACAAACCCAGTCCCCATCGCCACGCCGATCTGCAATATTCTGTTTGCCGTCCTCCGCGCGAGCGAGTAGTCGCCCTTCCCCAGCGCCAGCGCCACCAACGACTGCGCCGCCACCGAGATAGCGTCCAGCAGCCGCGCAAACAGCGCGAAGATCTGCCTCCCGATCTCGAACGCCGCCACCTCCACCGTCCCTAGCCTCGCCGCCGTGGCCGTCGCGTACGAAATCGTCGAAAAGATTGACAGCGTCCTTATCGACAGCACGCATCCCGTGCGCAACAAGGGAAAGATTTCTCCTGGCCGCGGCAGCTTTCTCAGATCCTTCAGTCGGAGCTTCTTCGTGCGGACGAGCAGCGCCAGCAGCGCTACACCCGCGCACGTCTGTCCCGTGGCCATGGCGACACCCGCCCCTTTAATGCCCATCTTCAACCCGAATATCAGTGACGGATACAAAATCAAGTTGAGACAATTGGCAAGCAGACCCACAAACAAAGGCGTTTTGGTATCCTGAAAGCCCCTAAACGCGCCATTGCCAACCATGGCGGCCAAAAAGAAGGGCGCAGCGACGATGCGCGCCCTCAAATAAGGGACGGCCTGCGGCATAATGGCGGCGTTGGCGCCGAAAAAGCTCACGATCGGGGTGGTATACAAAAGGAGCACCAAGGCCGCCGACACACCCGACACAACAGCGACCCAGAGTGCCTGGGCTATAAGGCGGGAGGCCTCTGCCATATCGTCCCTCGCATGAGCGCGGGCGATGGCTGGGGTGGTGGCCATACCGAGGAAGTTGAAGCACGTGAACGAGAGGTTGAAGACGTTGTTGCCAATGCCCACTCCGCCGAGCGCGGAGGCGCCGAGATATCCGACGCAGGCCATGTCCGCGAGGGCCACGAGCGGGTCCAGGGCGAGCGTGGCCAAGGCCGGCAGGGCGATGGAGGCGATGGAGGCATCGATGCGACGGGCGGAGATGCGGCGGGGAGCGGGGGTGGTGGGGGGTGTGGAGGGTTCGGTCGGGTCGTTAGCGGGGGTGGGGGGGACGGGGGCTGGGGGCTTGTCGAGGGCCGAGGCGTGCACCCGGCGGTGGAGCGGAAGGGAGAAGACGCGATGACGGGGGATGAGGGAGCGGTGGTGCGAGCGGGGAAGCAGGACGGGATGCACGGGGACGAAGGCGTGCATGGTGGGATGCGGGGGTGAGGGCAGGGGGGCGTGGAAAGGGCAGGGGGGCGTGGAAAGGGCAGGGCGCATAGCGAGGAGCCGCAAGATTGCGGGTGGGGTTCGGTTGGGAGGGGGTGCTTGAATGGGTGAGCGCAAGGTTGAGAGGTCGTACCGGCGAGGACGGCGAACGGAGACGGGGGCTTGAAAGGGAGGAGATTGCATTGCTAATTGGTGCACCGCGGCCGGTGCATCAAATCCATTTTCGTGACGATACGTGTGCACGTGGATGCGCCCTGGTGGAGATCTGCGTGGGATTTGCGGCCCTCTGGCAGAACAGCCCGTCGGGCGCTGGTAGTCGCAGATTTCAAAAGGACAGCCAATGGGAGCATGTGCAGAATGCACACCGTGTGTGGCCGCCACACTGTGGCGTAACTACTTCAGCTATAGAAATCAAATCTGTCCCCCGTAGCAGTGCCCGCCATTTGCACCCGCAAATGTATCACCCTTGTTTTGAACACTTCTGTATCTTTAACACGCACTGCGCGAGAGAACCGGATCAATTTTCGGACATTTGTTGGAGTCAATAAAATGTCGCAGTAGCTCATTGGCCAATCTTTGACCACTAACCCGTTCATGGTGGTGTTTTGAAGCATTGGACAAGGTTTCAACGCAATTGAAGCAAGACAAGTGGCCCAAAATCCATTCTGTTTGCGGTCTTGTCCGGGTTTCGAGGAGGTGAAAAGATGGAATGTAGTCATTGATAGAAATAATCACATTTTTAGTTTTCATTCAAATATTCAAGTTTTTGAAGTTTCGCATGATCCTCACACTGAGTTCAACGTGATGATATGATGCCAAGAATGGCCAGAAGTGCCCTCATGGCCGTGTTAGGGCTGACAGAGGATAACCTGCCTAATGACTCCTCATCCGACAAGAATTTACGGTCGAAGGTATCTTTCCTTCGTTCACAGATGAAGGCAGCTCTGAGAAATTCTAGCTAACTTGCATTGCTGTACTAATAGTTAACGGGTCAAACATGATATTTGTAGAATTTGGTTATTTTTATCGATGCATCACCCGCCAATTTTCCTCTTTTCTCTGAAGCTCTCAGACCAAAGGAATAGCCTTCTGGCTTGTTTCAGGTCCAGATTCGAGGTCTGCTCGATCACAGCTTTCCATTGATATCAAATTCATTCAGAAAGCACGAATGCGCCATTTTATCAACTAACTTTTCTGTCATGAAATGGGCAAATTTTGATCCGGTTCTCTCGCGAAGTGCGTGTTAAACTAGTCTTCCAACAATTTTAAACACACATGAAATAGGCTTGTAAAGTCTAAATTCAAGTCATCGCTGAAGGACACACAATTCAAAACGCCCGCAAGAATGAACGACAAAAAACGAACAGTTACAGTAAAAAGGTTAGATACACAGAAGTGTCATCCAAAATTCTCTCACAGCGCGTTTCTCAGTCGAATGGTTATTGAGTTGAGATCATCTCGCAAACCTGAGTCTGCAAATCCTTATTAACGAGATTCAAAGTTTCCTCATCACAGAAACTACGCCGCTCTCAGAAAAAAAAAATACGTTGACTTACCTTCTCACAATATGTCATGAAACATCACACCCTCCATCAGGGCTTCAATCCCGTTCTTTTCCGACACAAAAACTTGCTCTCCCGCGGCCTTCACCCCGATCCCAGCATCTTTCCCATATATTCCCAAATTCTCTTTGCCCTGCACGCTCTTATTCACCAGCTCGCTCCCGCCGAATACAAACGTCATCTTCTCTGATATTCTCAGCATCATCTGGCAGAACCCGACTAAATCCCCGACCGACCCTGCTGCCGGTGTCACTATCATATTCCGGCTTTCTCCCCTTTTCCCTACCCGCGCTGTGATCCCCATCTGCTCGAGCTTGATCTCAACCTCCCTGCAGAGCTCCGTCCGATCCTGCTTCTTCTTCTTGCACTCAAAGATGAGGCCGAAATCATCTGAGTCCTCTGGGCAGTGCTTCAACTCGGTCTTGAAATACTCCCCGATCACCCATCTCGTCGGCTTGGGGTCCCAATCCTTGCACACCATCTTGGCCCAGTACGGGTCCGGCGTCTTGTATCTCCGTTGATACAACTCAGTCCCGTGGAAAGTCGCGAGCGCATCCGGCTGGATCAGCCCAACCTTCTCCATCTGTTCCATCGCCTGCGCATATCCTACGTCGCTACTGTAGAGCACAAACGTGGTATCCGTGTCCTTGGCACGATCGGCAGACACTCGTTCTGTAAACGTCTTCATGTGAGCCGGATTTGGCTTGCGAAGGATCTCCGACAGCTCGATTACCAACAATTTACTAGCCGCGCATCGCAGCGTGAGGCGCACAGGGCACCGCGGTGATTGCGGGCGCACTGAGGTCAGGGGCAGGGGGGCGATGAAAGCACGCGGGGAGCGTGCTTTTTTAAGCGTCATCCTAACCTTTGCACATTGGAAGAGAGCAGCACTTGTCGACGGGTGGAGCTGGCAGAAATGTCAGCGGTGTTAGTGTGATAGCCATTGGGAAGTCGTGAGGTGGTGAAGGTAGAGAGACGCGTGAGGAACAAGGGTTTTACACCTGCCGAGAGCCCGAGGTCTATTATCACGAGAATTTGCGGTTGTGCATATCGTCAGATTACGCTTGTCGGAACGCCGCTAACTTTAGATCTATGATACCTGGATCTGAAATTTTCGAAATGGATCAATTTTAAATTATTACACTGTCGGCAAAGTGTTGGTGCAGCTGGCGATAGCGTCTACACTCTGCCCGTGACGTCATCATGAGATGACTACCCTTTTCGAAGCGATTGAATTTGTGCGATTGCACAATCATCCCTCTCGCTAATCTGTTCTCATCTGTCCGCCCTCCGCACGAAAGAGCGTTTCTTTCTTCTCCTCCCCCATCCCTCGACGCAGCGCATCCGCACCTTTGCGCAATGACAAGAGGTCCTAGCGCAATCGTGATCGCGGGCCCGTCCGGCGTCGGCAAAGGCACTCTGATCGAGAAGCTGCGTCAAGAATTCCCCACCTTATTCGGCTTCTCCGTCTCGCACACGTCTCGCGCCCCGCGCCCCGGGGAAGAGAACGGCAAGCACTACCACTTCACGACAGCCGAACAGATCGAGTCCGACGTAGCGAAAGGCAAGTTCATCGAGCACGCCGAGGTGCACGGGCGCCACTACGGAACGTCCGTCGCGGCCGTGGAGACCGTGAGAGAGCAAGGCAAGATCTGCATACTCGACATCGACGTGCAAGGGTGCCGCGCAGCGAGAGCGAAGGAGCTTGTGGCAAAGTACGTTTTCATTGCGCCGCCAAGCGTAGAGGAGCTCGAGAAGAGGCTCAGGGGGAGGGGCACAGAGGAGGAGGCGGCCATTGTCACGAGGTTGGGGAATGCGATGAGGGAGATCCAAGCCAAGGACGAGAAGGGATTATTCGATGCTGTTATCGTTAACGATCAGCTTGACAAAGCGTACGCAGAGCTTAAGGAGCTAATCAAAGGCGATGTGGAAGAAGCGATTAAGGCGCAGGCGTGAGAACGGGGCAGACGTAGAATTGGAGTAAGGCGTATCTATAGCTTGGTGGGGTGTCTCTGGAAGGGGGAAGTATAATTTTAACTTTTCGAGGTTGCCGCTTTGTGAGGGAATTCATCTTTGTAGATACCATACTGTAGCAGACTTGCGTGCGCTCTCCTCAACTGATGTCAGTTGGATGTCAACATCCAGTACTCTCGATCTTACCTGAGAACTCGTCAAATTCCTGCGCGTGCTCGTTCGAACATGGTCGGCATGGACTCTTGACGTTTGGGGCCTATCAACAGGGATGCACTCGATTGTTTCGTTAGAGGGAGACGCGTTTTGCCCAAACTGAATCGTCCCTTCACCGTAATTCAGCCCCCAACCCGTGTCCCCTCTTTGCTGACGATCGGGGACGAGACAGTGCAGTGTACAAGTATCTTGTCCTGAAGGATCGCCAGCACACGCAGCTCGCTCGGGGGAGGCTTGTTGCCGCGTACAGCAAGTGGTTCCACTTGCTGCGAAGGGCGGGTGGAAACAGGCCTGCACCGGTTGATGCGTAGCACACCGTCGCAGGCCACCACAACACACATTGTGAATTTTTATGTTGTACGACAGATGTGCTGTACGCAGGAAACGAGGTCGCGGTGGCGAAGCCACCAAGTCGATGCGATCAGCGATCCGTGATTGAAGCGGCTGGCTGGCATCGTGCAAAAGGATGAATCTGGTTGTACGGTAGAAACACAGCAGAAACACAACAGCTTACCGCATGACAACTCTCGCAGAGGGATGCCCACGCGGCACACCGCTCCATCATTTTTACCGTCAGCCCTTGGGTCCGTCAGCTGACGCGTCTTACAAGGAGTTTGCGCTGTGAAATACTGTACAGGACTGCAGTGGAAGCACATTCATCATACTGTAGTCACAAGTTTGCTCGCAACGTGGCCACGTCCCGAGCGACAGCCAATCACAAAAATGTGGTTAAACGTCAGGCTTTGAGAACGTCCTGGGAGATCGGTGGCACAGAGCCGATGGAAGAAGGCCACTGCTCCCAATGGTAATAAACTAGGGCTCTTCACTCCACTCCCTTTCCGAGCACTTGCGCTGTCTGTCTGTCGATATGCGCGGTGGATCGCGGGCTGTGGGCCGCTCACTTGACACAAGGCATCGCAATAATATTATTCGGAGAGCTGTTAGGGTAGACGAAATCGGACGTCGTTTGAAGAAACGGATTGAATCGTACTAAATATCTTGAGGGGGAATGCCGAGAGGAGGCAGTCCGTAAGAGAGGATAGCAAGAAAGATTCGGGGCCTGTGCTTTGGGAGGGGGGTGTGCGAAACACAAGCCCGCTGTCGGCGCGTCTCATTGTTCGTCAAAGACTGCACCAATCGTTGTGTTCATTAGCGAGTTGCACGGCATCTATACCGCAATACGAGCTGGGCCTGGGCTTGGCGTTCTACCATACAGCGTGGTTGCGTTGAGAAAGTGGTTACATACTGTATCATGTTTCGCAATCGCAAGGCTACGAAAAAGTGTCGCATGGCACAGGAGCACAGTATCCGCCACTACTCGCTTAGACATGTAGCAAGGGTTATGCATGCGGAGGGCAAGCTCTGGCATGGGGATTGACCTTGAACTCACTCCCGAGTGGACAGCACTGTAGCATTTGCGAGGAGCGGAGTCGCTCGGACGTCAACCTTTGTGCTTAATGATGGGGGTGAGAGGGCGGAAAGTCGGGCGCAACCTGCGGTAGACACCCCTCGCAAGCGGTCATTTTGTCCGCACCTCGCGACGTGCCCTCGTGATCGTGTGTTCCATGGTGCGCATAACGTCTCGCGGCCACTCCGCATGACTACCCTCGTCCGCATTGGTCACATTGCATTCGCGTCTGGCCAATCATTTGCACGTGCGGCGTGGTGGCTTTCATTCTGCAACCACCACCATCAGTCTCACATGTGCTTCGCCGGAGATGTGAGTCCCGTGAATAAGTTGTTAGATATGGGGCCCGGACCAGAGCGGGGGAATCGTGCGTGTAGAAACAAGTGGTGGAACGTGGTTTGTTGGCTTGAAGAAACGAGCGTTCAATCACATATCCTGACAGGGGCCCGACATACAGTGGGCTGTCGGACGTTTGAACTGGGACAAAATGCCTCTGCGGGAGCATGCTTCTGTCCGAATGTCTACGTGTTGGAGAGTGACAAGTGTCTCTTGAGAGCAGTGAGTCGTAAATCGAGATGATGATAAGATGATGTTTTTGGCTCTTTCTGTGGTGGTTGTTTTGCGGCATCGCGATCAAAGGACGGGTGGAGAATATCCCAATTCTCGAGCAATATCCTTCAAAAAGGAGGCTCCGCACCTGGGGTATATGGGATTCTTTACTGCAGCGTATCGAAAATGTAAGACACTGTACTCGAGTACGAGGACAGCTTCATACTGCGAGTTCGCAATCATTCGAGACTGTGAGTACCCTTTACCCAAGGGTACTGTTCCATGCAGGAGTCTCGAGAGTTGCAAGGCCTAGAAACCGTGCAGGATCACTCGCTCAGGCCCAACGGTACCTTCGGTATTTGCCTCTGTTCCAGCCTAGAACCACCAGCTGACAAATTCGAAAGCATGAGGGCTGTCAGGTTCATCAAAAACAAGCATGGCTGCATTACAGTGGGATCCTGTGCACGATCTCCGCCTGTGATTTGCAAACAAAATGCCATCGCCTAGATTTTTTGTCTCTCAAAAACTCTCTTGAACCGTGGTTGTGGTCGAGACCAGCCCTTACATGTTCGTTCCTGAGGCACTGCTGAGGGAGTGAGAGCTCTGGGCCTTTCAACACATGAGCTCCTCCAACGAATCTCTTTCTCGTGGCCATCACTAGACTCTTTCGATAGCACAGATCGCCGAACAGTCGTGCACAGGGCCCTGCGGACCACGTACTGTACTTGTAGGGAGTACTCACGCCAGAAGGTGTCGTATAGCATTGGGCCATTTCGCGTCGCAAAGTGGAGGTGCAGCACGATATGGAGGGGTGACACGTGGAACATGACATCTCGGTCCGTTCTGGCGATCACTGGATATGCAACGTGTGATCGAATGGGTGGCTAGTGCCGTCATTCCAGCGTGGAGGAATCACTTGTCAACGCGAAAGAATTTTTATCGAGCAAGTGATTGAAAGTCAGCCGTGAGGTCTGTCCGTTTGCAGCAAGGTGTCAGAATAAGAAGGGGTTTGTTTTTGGACAGTTTTTTTTGTGTAAGTGGTTCGGCGCACTGAAGCGCTTTCACTGGCCAGGGAGCGCCGGCAAGGTACTCGAGTAAGTCTGGGGCGAAGGAGAACACCGTTGAGGTCAAGGGGCCAGGTGTCGCGAGTGCGTGTGCTGGCCAGCGAACTGGAGAGGACTTAAAATGTAATGTACAGCAGAATGTATTTACGGCGTTTCGGTTGGTTCGGGCAGGGTCTCATATGAGAAAGGACGCCAGAAATTAGAGGCGTTTGGGCCAGGCCGCTAGCCTGGCCAGGCCATATCAGAGGTTGCGATAAACGATATAGGATAACGTGTGGGAGGTTTTTTAAGATTATTATTTCGCATTTTGACGCATGTCATTACGCGGAGAGTGCTGGCAGATTGCATGCGGGTGAGAAAAGCAATGAGAAAAAGAGGAATGCGTGTGGCGATAGGAACAAGCAGCGTATCCCAAGGCATGGGTGAGTAAACAAGGCCCACTTCCAGAAGCTCGTGGAAGAAGCGTGAGGCCTCAACGCTCTCAACACCCAAAAATCAATCCTTTGCTCCACTTGTTCTGTACCCGAATCGAGCCTCTCTGCCTCGCCCCGCACCGACCTGACAGGCCCCTGCGTGCGCACCCCTACCCCAACATTCTCTTCCTCCTCCACGAGATCGACCACTTCGACATCCACATCACCCTCATCCCCCTCATCCCCCTATTCATTGCATCCCTCCGTTACCCAGCGACGCCAGCTGCATCGACTACCTTGCTTCCGTTTGCGTTCGATTGCGTTTTGTGTCTGTTCCACCGCCACCCGCCACCCCCCCGCTCCGCCCTCCGCGCCTTTCTCCCTTTCCCCTTGAGTCCCCTCTTACCCTGTTCCCCGCTGCGTTCTTTCTCTTTCTGGTCTCATCTATCGTGCAGTCCCTTCATACTCCTTCGCCGTCTTCCACTTGCACCCGCCACTTCTGTGTGCTCAGTCTCTATCTCATCTCCGTGGCCCCACGCGGCCCGCTCTAGCGTTTCTGTACAGCGTATCGTGTCATACCGCTCGTCTTTTCTTTTTGCCCTGCCCCTTCCTCCTGTCGTCTCCTTTACTTTTCCTTTCATATCCCAACTCAAACCCGGATCCATATCTTCATCCCCAACTTTCTCCCACTTCCCCTGCACCTCCCCACTTTCCCCTCTTCCTCCCTCCACTCAACGCCTATCTAATCCCTCGCTGCCACCACTGCCCATATCGCTCCGCATTCGCCTACCTCCTCATCACTGATACCTCGCTCACTCGTTTATCCTTCTTCACTCTTTTCCGTTTCTGTCGTTTGGGGTCGCGGCGCTGCTCTTTCCGCTAACGTCCACACTCCGACCTCGTTGCCCTTATTCAGCCGCCCGCTGACATCCTTCTCTTCGTTCAGCTTGTTTCCACACTCAAGCTAATCGTATTTCAAATTATTTCCGCTTCATGATGATGATGTAACCACTTTCGACATCCATCTCTCCCACATCAGAGTGGGCTGGACTCCCCGATTCGCTTCTTGCGTTTGAGTTTCTCGCCTTGAACACTGCCAACCTCGCTACAACTCATCGCATCTATCCCGGCACTCAAGCGTTCACCCTTGTGCGGTGACCTTCACAATCCTCTCTTGTCTCGCAGCATCTCCGCATTTTCCTGTACGACCACCAACCCGCCCTGCTTACTTCCACCTTCACCGCTTCCTCATTTGTTTTAACTACTCCATCACATATCCCGACATGCCTCCGCCCTCCGCTGGCTCTATCCCCATCCCGACCCGCTCAGTGTCGGCAATGTCTGCCGTCAAGTCTTCGCTCGATCCCGACTTCTTCACCCCCCTCGGCACAAGCCTGCCGTCCAATGCCCATCGCTCTTTCCATGCCTCCCATTCACACATGCCTACCCCATCGCTGCTTTCTCAAGATGATCTCGCCACGGTTTGGTCCTCGTCCCGCCCTTCCGTCGAGCTAGTTTCACGTGCCGCGAAGAAGTGGGTCTCTGGCCACCCCAACGGACGCCTCGACATCCCCCGTGATGCCACATTCGACGATCGCATCCTACGCTTCGAACCCTGGGACTTCTCAGAGGTCGCCCTCGCCACCGATGAGGTCCGTACCGCCTTCCAGCGTGGAAGCGCCCGAGCGGAGCGTCCTCCCCGGGAAGGTGTGTGCGGTACCTACTTTATTCGGGGTGGAAATGGTGATGTGCTCTGCGTCTTCAAGCCGGTCGATGAAGAGGCTACTGACATTGACATGTCTCCCCCTGCGTTGCCTGCACCGCAACCCATAAGTCTGCGCTTTGGGGAGGACAATGGTTCAGAGTTCTCGCTTGGGCCTGCTCATGGGGGCTTTTCTTCATCCCCACTCTCACCGTTGCCGGACAGCTTCAATTATTTCTTGCATCGCACCAAGAGTCTCAGTTCCGACTCTGGTGACGAGGGTATCACCAATGAGTCCTTCTCGGGTCGCTCTGGCGGCTTTCATGCGGGAGAAGGCGCGTACAAGGAAGTTGCAGCATATTTACTCGACCATGATCGCTTTGCCCGGGTGCCCCAGACAGCGCTTGCTACTTGCAAATTCTCGTCAGATGTCCCTGAGAAGAACCAGAAGGCCAAACACATCCGTGCCCATTCCATATCTACGACTGGTGGGGATGACGTGTTTGAGGATGATGTCATAGAGAAGTCCACGGTTGGCTCGCCTGACGATTCTTTCTCGCGTATGAGGACAAAGATGGGTGCTCTACAAGTCTTCATGAAGAACGTGGGCGATGCCGATGACTTTGGACCTGGCGTCTTCGACAAGGAACAAGTGCAACGTATTGCCATTCTTGACATCCGGACGCTTAACCACGATCGTCATGGAGGGAATATTCTCGTCACCAAGTCGATCGCCCCGAATCGCCGTTATAATCTTGTTCCCATCGACCATGGATACATTTTGCCGGAGACGGTGCAATCCATTCCATGGCCAGTGTGGATGGATTGGCCTATGGTGCGGGAACCACTGTCAGACCGTCTGAAGAATTACATTGCACATCTTGACGCGGATTCTGAGGCAAACATTCTGGACAACGAACTTGATGGCAAGCTTCTTCCTGGATCGCTGCAAGGTTTGAAAATAGCCACGATGTTATTACAAAAGGGTGTTGCTGCTGGTTTGACGCTTTATGATATCGGTTTGATGATGTACAGTCGCCGGGACGAACCGTATCACGTGTCAGAGTTGACGAAGCTCATCAATGAAGCGGAAGAGGCAAACGTGGCGCGGGAACGCAATTTTTCTGACCTGGAGGTGAAAATTCATCCGCCATTGCCAATAAGTGGAGACGATCATCTTCATCGCCGCCATCAGAGCATGTCGTCGCTCTACGTGCCCGAGTCTTTCAGTGAAGATTACGTGACAAAGTACGCAAAGCGCAGGATTCACGATGTAATTGCACTAGCCGCGGCAAAGAAGGAGAATGAAAAGAAGCGGAACTCGACTGGAGGTCGCAAGATTCCACGGTCGAGGTCGATTCCGGACTTTGGAGTCCGAATCAAGCCTCTGCAGGCCATCGTGAATATGCCTGAGGGAGGCCTTGTTCCGGCACCAACGCCGGCAAGTTCCCCTGTGGCAACTACGTCTAGGTCGCATTTACCAACAGAATCGCTCGAGGCGCAAATGTTTTCTAGAGGTCGTGCTCCGTGCCCACAGTTTCAGATTCCGATTGACGATGGAATGAGTCGCATTGCCTTGCCAGAGCCTATTCCGATGCCGGCACCCGATACAAGCCTGTTCCGCCATCCATCTGTGCCGGTGCCCTTGAAGGTGGGCAGAGATCCCCAGCCCTTGGTCATGGACCGTTTGAGTAGCGGGGGACTGCCACCTTTATTCAAGCCATCCGTGCGGAAGTCTTCGCCAGTTGCTCCTCAGGAATTTATGGCATGGGAGACAGGCTCATCGTAGCATTGTTGTAACAGCACTTGAGCAGTAAGAAGAGAATTGGATATGGAACACCACCCCTATCTAGCTGAGGTGTCCGATGAGGAACGCCCTCCAGCAGTTGCGAAGAACACTTGTGAAGTTTATGTAAAATTGGTTCACTAACATTAAACTTTTGCGGCCGTTGTCCGTTACCGCCATGGTCGGTGACTGCCGGTCTGCAATGTTTTCCTATGTAGTCGCAGAGCTTGGTTGTCGTGTACAGTGTAGCGAATTGTGCATGGCTTGTTTTTGCTGAGCATACAGATGTGTCATGATGATATTCATTGAAGGGAGTTGTATGTGTATCTGTACACAGGCGCGAAGTTGGTGGAGGAAAGATCGTTCGGCGGGGATGGATGTGGAGCTCATCACGGAATCCACCGCACTAGTACGTCTCGGTGGAAAAGGCAGTGCAGTGCACCAGATGCGAAATCGCTTGATGGAATACATGCTGTTGAAGAGCCAGCAGGCATAGTCGTATTCGGAGCAAACGAAAACTCCACCGCCTTCCCATCAGCTCACAGTTAAACAAAACGAAAAAAGGGGAAAGGGGTATGTTACGCCTTCCAAAAGATACCATCGCGACCGTATCATCATACCTTGCTCTGATTGTCCCTCTTCATCGGAGTGGCGGCCTGCCTCTTCTCGATCCACTTAACGACGACCTCATACGTGAAGAACATGAGGGCAGCATTAGGCACAACGCGCGCCAAATGGGTACCCATGCCCGCATACAAGCCTCTGCGTCCTTCCTCCCTGGCGATGACCCGCAGCGATTGGATCATGCCTCTGTATTTCGGCACGGCACCGACAAACTTGGGCTGCTCCCTCATTCTGAGCCTGACGACCTCGTGCGGATACGTGGCCATGGACGCCAGCAGCTTGGACAGGGCCGCAGCGCTCAGGTACTGCAAACTGGTGAGTCGCTGCGGGTCCTCCGTCATGCGCGGGGTGGTCAAGTAGTGCCCCTGGGCGATCTTTCGGCGGTTCTCCTCCACCAGCTTGGCTTTCAACCGCTCGTACACGACAAAGTGTAGCGCGCCCTCCGTCACGCCCCAGTACGACGCGGTGAGCCCCTTGAAAAACCCGGCCACCCCCTCCTCTCTGAAGATGCGCACCATGGCATCGCCGTACCCGCGGTACACCATAGGGTTCCCGGCGGTAGCGCCCGCCTGCAGCTGCACGCGGGACTTCATGAGCCAGATCGGGTTGGTGAGTGTATTCGACGACACGCCCGCGGCGGCCGCGGACAGCATATGCACGAGTGGGCTCTCCCCAAAGCGCTGCGAAAGCGACGACTTAGTCGTGGCGTACGCCCAAAAGTAGGTGGCCCGCGCCGGCAGGATGCCGATGAGCGTGGGCAGCAGCCCGCGGAAGAAGCCGCGCACGCCCTCGGCGCGCGCGATGTTGCGCGCGATAGAGAACGGGCCGTTTGCCGTGAGCGCGACCTGCGACCCGCCCTTGGACGCCTGCAGGTGCGTCTTCACGACCTCCATCGGGCACGTCACCGCCGCCGACAGAGAGCCCGCGATGCCGCCGGCGATCAGCGACGGCAGCTGCTTGCGGTGCGCCGGGCGAGTGTCGCTGCGCGCGGAGAGCGCTGCCAGCTGGAAGGGAGGCGTCCGCCGGGCGGAGGGGCGGCGCAGGGGGAACAGCGGCATGGTGGCGGGGTGGCAGGGTGGCAGGGAGGGTGACGGCGGCGCGGGAATGCCAGATTGGCGTGGACGTCGGCGGGGTGCAGAGAGTTGTGCAACTCGCTGCAAGCAGCCAAGGCGGCTCTAGAGAGCAGGGCAGCCAATTGCGGCGGGCGAAGCGTGGCCGTCGGGTGCGGAGATTGCGACCTGGCCACGTGGTCCACGTGTGTGCCCAATCCGCCGCCCCGGCACGTGCGCCAATCGCCATCGCACAGGTGGAGCGTGCGTCTCCGTCCGCACCTCTGGGCATGCAGCGCGATGCACGGGAGCCATCGCCCTTATCTAGGCAACGCCGCGCGCATTGGTCACGTGCGCGTCGATGCAACTCCCCGGGCCACTATCGCTGCGCCCTTCACCCGTGCCATGACCGCCTTGCGCGCCGCCTTCGTGGCCTCGCCCCTGCTCCCTCGCGTGCCGGCGTCGCGCCGCGGCGTCGCGCAGCCGCCGC